ACCCAGACTTATTCGAATAACAATAGAACCCTCCACCGACATAGAAAAGGGTTTGCTCTCCGCAAGCGCGCTAAAACACCGATCCTGTGGAATACGTATTTATCCTGATATCCCTTGGAGCGCGCGACAATCAAAAAGAAACACCGATGAGGGGCACAGCAAGCAAGACAGCCTAAATGCAATCTTCCTACATGGCGTGCCAGAACATCCTTTTAACGGTGTTCAAGAGGCTGGAAAGCACGCTTTAGAACAGTGTTGGTTCCTTCGTGAAATCTTTGCTTTGAATAATCTTGTGGCGCCATCGCTCACCAGGATACCTCACTCACAAAATTATAGAGGATGCGGTCCTAAAATCCTAAAACACCTGGTTCAGTCAGAGCAACAAACAAAGAATGTTTTAGATCGATGGCGCAGAAATCGGAAACATCTTCCCTCTGAAATTCGGTTAAAGATTGTAAACGCTTTGCACAGCTCAAATATTAAAGCAACTGGAGCAGCGAGCTTACCGACGAATGTACAGACGCGTAACTTGACTGCTGCTTTAATTGACTCTGAGCTAGGTCTAAACGAAGGTTTGGGCGCCCCTTCGCCGAATCAAGTTGCAAACGAAGTAGCATTATCCCATCAAAATAAACGAGTAACTGCGGACCTCCCATCGGTCGGCATTCGCCCACACGTGAACCCTTCACCCCACTGTGGGCTCCTAGAGACAGAGAAACTGGCGTGCTTGTATACGAATGCTCAGAGTCTTTCTAACAAACTGGCCGAACTGAAAGATCTCCAAGATTCCTGGTCATATGATGTCATTGGTATCTCCGAGACGTGATTGTACACGGGAAAGACGGACGCTGATGTTTCGCTACCGCGCATATCGCTAATCCGGGACGACAGGGTCACAAAAGGAGAAGGGGTAATCCTGTACTACCGAAACGACTTACAGTGCGAAGCCGTGGAGGATTCAGACTTGCAGTTCCCCGACTCTCTTTGGTGCCGGTTGCAGTTAAAAGGCAGGGACCCTTGCATTATTGCCTCAGTGTACTGCGCCCCTAACTTAACACCCGAAACCGACCACCACCTAGCGGCTGCCTTAAGATGCAGTCTACAACAAAAGTACACACATTCTTATCATGGGTGAGTTCAACGTACATAGTTTAGAAACTCCCGCCACGATCGGAGAACAGTTCAAAGCCGATCTACAAGATCTAGGAACTACCGTTCCTCTGTACAATCACATCACTTTGTCAACTCCGTTCAGCACAGGTAACAGGCCATCTGTGCTGGATCTTGTGTTCACCAACGAGGGGCATATGAATAATGAGTTGATTTTGGACCGCCCGTTGAGTCACAGTGATCACGCAGTCATCAGTTTCAACTTCGTCTGCTATGCATAATATCTGAATAAGAACGATGAGACTGTGCGAACCATCACAAGCTACGACCGATCAGCCCAGCTTGTCAGCGCCACATCTTGGGCGTTCCTCGAAGAAGAACCACCAGAAGTCGCCTGGCTCATGTTCGTCAAAAATTTCAGTCAGCTGATTGCAGAGGCTTCAGAGATAAAAGTTTGATATAAGTGTACATCAGTTTCTTACATTAGAAGCAGAATTCGAAAATGGATGACATTACGCAACGCAGTATGGCGAGTGTACAGAGAAGTCCCAGTACGAGAAACTTGGGACAACTACGAAGCCCAACCAAACCACTGAACTCAACTAGTAAGACAAAGCCGCCTATCATCAGAACATCGCAAAAACCTTCATTGCTAACCACAAACTGCTGTACAAGCACGTTACTAGCCTACGAAAGGTGAGGCAAGGATTTGCTCCACTCATGATGGCTGATAGCCCAACAAGAACGGCTGTGGAAGCAGCAACCGCGCTGCAGATGCAATACGCCCCCACGTTTCAAAGCGTCTTGCCACCAAGAGATCTACCAAGCTTTGTCTTCTCCTCACCAAGACTAACCCACATCACTTTTACCGCGGAGGCTGTATTGTGAAAGCTGACGTCTCTACGCAAACACAGCTCGCAAGGTGTCGACACTATTCGTCCAGAGGCATTGGGAGCAGCAGCAAGCCAACTGGCAGGACCTTTAGCTCAGTTTTTCCAGCGCTGCTTAGACCAGAAGCAAGTTCCCGCCATGTGGCAGGTTGGAATAATAAGCCCGATTCACAAAGGTGGAAGCAGAATTGGTCCCTCTAACTACCGCCCAGTATTCCTTCTTCCTATACTCTCCAAGATCATGGAATCCACAGTTGCCGATGCACCGGTGTGCTATCTGGAAAACTGCAACCTCATCACCCCTGAACAGCACGGTTTCCGTCGACAGCGGTCATGTACAACTAATGTACTAATTGCACGCAGTAGTTGGACCGAGGCAGCTGAAGCTGGAGAAGACGTTGGTGTGATATACCTGGAGTTTTCCAAGGCTTTCGATCGTCTATACCATCGGATGCTACTATCCAAGCTGCAGAATTACGGGATCGGAGACCCTCTTTTAAGCTGGATCGCCAACTTTCTATTTCAGCGGCAATTAGTGGCCAGAGTTCGGGTCCCTTTATCGGACCCCATACAAGTGGAGTGTGGTGTGCCGCAAGGCTCAGTTCAAGGTCCACGTTTGTTTTTGGTGTTTATTAATGACCTTGCACAGGGAATCGCTTCAAACTTCCTAATGTTTGCCGACGATATTAAGATTTGGCATAGGATCCAGGCGGAAGCCGACCGCATCTGCTTCAGAGTGACCCAGATACGGTCCAACAATGGTCAGCCCAAAACTTACTACATTATACTATACTATGTACTATAACTATATACTTCACCATATACTATATTTCAACGTGTATAAGTGCACCGTACTTTCCATCCGACATCAGAGCAGCTACTTACACCGGCTCGGAAAGAATGTACTGCAGCAATCAACTCTCGAACCTGACTTGGGTGTCCTGATTCAAGATGACTTGGGTTGCTCCAGGCAATCCGAAAAGGCCTCGAAGACCGGGAACCAACACGTCGGGCTGTTGAGGCGGGCGTTGGGACAAATAAACAGCTTCATATTTCTACAACTGCTCAGTGCATGTGTTCGCCCCCATGTCAAATATGCAATTCAAGCCTGGCATCCATGGCTGAAACACGACCTTAATGCACTGGAGCAGCCACAACGTCGGACATCCAAGAACATAATTGGAATGCGCAATCTTTCATACCAGGAGAGGCTGCAACGATTGAGGGTGTGCAGCCGAAGCTATCGCAGACTACGAGACGACCTGCTTATGGATTACTTGATTCCGCGAGACCCACATCATGTGTGCCGCCCTTTATTACAACTCAGCAGCAACACAAACCTGAGGGGCCACTCATTGAAACTCGCAGAACAGTATAGCCGCCTGGAGTGCCGCAGAAATATCTTTTCCATTCGTGTCTGCTACCAGTGGAATGCTGTCTCGGAATCGGTCGTCTCTGCACCGACACTAACAGTATTTAAAAGACGGTTGGACGATGCACTCGTCCAGTTACACTTGGTTTCTTAACACTACGTCTCCATCATACACCTTGAGTTTATCATGGAATTATTTGCTGTTAACTGTGGGTGTTGTGAATCGAAGCGGATTGCAGGACTTCGGCGGAGCAAACGATAAGTCCTTATTTTTATATTTAAAATACTTACGGTTTTACTATCGTTATTGTCATTATTGTTATTTCGATATCCCTACCAACTATTCAACTGGACTTGTAAAGCAAAGCTTCTTAACCCATATAAATCCATTGTTCACTGATTTTGGCCCCTTTGTACTGCTGGGGTTTCGGTAAGGCACGAACTATTTTTTCTAGAGTGGAATAAGTGTCCACCTCTGCCTCAGTGCGTTTGTTTTAATTTGAGGTGGCAGTTCTCTGTCTTAATAGCCAGTTCCGACAGCACATCTGCATCGTTGGGAATTGTTTTCGTGCCTTGAAGTATGTCCTCTATCGATGCTCTAGTGATGTGGTGTGCTTGCCCGAAGAGGTCTCGTAGGATTCCACGAGCTCTAATATAAACCTGACCGGATGACAGCATTACGCAGTTGCCTGTAGCCAATGTGGCTTTTCCCTTACAGTAATGAATGAGGTAGCGTAGATGTGTCCTGCAGTCTACCACCTTACTCTCCACATAGGCCTCCAATTGCTTTATACACATCCAGTAACCAGCCGGGTGCCCATCAAAATAAGCCAGCACTACTTTGAGGAGACCTGTTTCTACAATTAGTGAGACAAGAGCCGACGCTATGGCGTTCCCAAAAACTGCTACGTGGGAGTCGAACAACAAATCGGCATGACGACTAGCAGAACGTTGATTCGCAGCCGTCGCGACACGTTCTATGACGCACTCGTCAAATCTGTTTAACGAATATGTTGGAAGTGCGTGCACGTCTATGCCGTGTTGTTCGTCTTCAAGCAAGGCATTGTACTCAGTGAATTCAACCTCCAGTATAGCTTTCAATAGTCTACGCTGCTTGCTTAGTGTTTGTTCCTTAGCTTTAAGTGTTAGATCCTCCTTGAGTTGCTATTCTTCCAACTCAGCAAGCAGGAGTTTTGAGACTGTGCGAACCATCCCAAGCTACGATCGATCAGCCCAGCTTGTCAGCGCCACATCTTGGGCGTTCCTCGAAGAAGAACCACCGGAAGTCGCCTGGCTCGAGTTCGTCAAAAATTTCAGTCAGATGGTTGCAGAGGCTTCAGAGATAAAAGTTTGATATAAGTGTAAATCGGTTTCTTACGTTAGGAGCAGAATTCGAAAATGGATGACAATACGCAACGCAGTATGGCGGAAGGAACGTCAAACTTTACGTCAATCAATACCTTCGGACACCCGGTTTGGGCCCTAAATACGATCAACACACAATGTTGGATAGACTTGTTTTCAAAACCTAGATCCGAACTCATTTTCGTCGGTGTTGTGAGTTCCTTTGTCACTCACCCACAGTCACTCTCCCTTCCAGTTGTGCTTTAAATCCGATGCAAAAGCAAGGCAAGAATAAGGTTACGTAATTTTTGCTTTGTGTTTTCCGTTATCTTTGTGTGATTATGTAATTGGGTTTTACTGAGGTACATTAGTTGGAGGGTGTTTACACTTTTGACTGACCTACAGCATGAGGCAGATAATGAATGGACATATATAGCATGATGCAGGATGGCATATATTGGACACATTGAGTTGAACTCATCACGTTTTGCTTCACTTATGCACCGAATAAACAACCGACCGTTTTCTTCCGTCCATCCTCACTTGTCGTGCAGTCTACAAACAGGTACAATTAAAAGCGTACGTGGATAATCAGATTGCCAACTAGTAGCATACAACACTTTGAATACCCTGGTTCACTAACTCTGATTCCTACATGGATCGCATCTGGCAGGTGAATGGTGCAAATGTTCATCCGATTCCAAATTCACTTGAAACGCAAAATACAAATGAGCAAGGCTTAATGATCAACATAATAATCGCATGCAATGGGTAAAACGAAGTCCTCGTGATTTACACACTTGGTTTAGCGTCTAACAACAAACCACAACAACTGATTAATGGCACATAGACCTTCGGCCACTTCGCCTAACAAATTAAATCTTTCCTAGCATTACAAGCTGGAAGCAACGCATATGAAAAACTCAGTTCTACAAACAAAGTACACAACCAGATTGTGTTTCGCTAAGGGGCACAATTCAGCTTTACGAGTGTGTTTTACACGAAGGTATTTCACAAATCCACCGGGTAGAAATTTGCTACATATTGCTAAATGTTTAGGTGTATATTTGACGCGTACTCGATACAGTAACGTTCTTGTAATTCGCAGTAGTGCCGAGGCAGTCGTTGCAAAGCCCTTCACGTGCAACATTTCGCAACGCGGTTTCTGTTTCTATTTGACTAGCAAAATGTGACGCTATGCGTCCAAAGCCTTTCAACGCAACTAGAGGTGCTACTTTATCCTGACGAACTCGCCTTAACCCTCTCCTCAATTTTTAGCGATAAACTTATCATGAAATCGGCATGTTGGATAGCAGGATCATGCGCCAGATAACCACACACACTTGCGCCATCTGCTAAAATTTCAGACACCAAATATTCGTCTACCACATGGTTTCGTACTAACACCGCTGCTGGGAATGATCGTCCGCATATTGTGTAATATGTCCAGATGTCACACAAGCCGACTTGATCCTTTCACCAGCCACAGACGCACATTCACTCTTCCGTAAAAATCTTAACACTTTCTTTACATATTGTCAAGTGCGTACTACAGAATACGTACAAATATATAGCATCATGGAGAGTCTATACCTTTGAGATAGCAAATTCACCAATATACGTACACACGCACACAAGTTCTTGTCAATACATCATATAACAACACAATTAATTAACACACCTGTCTACTGGCTTACTACTACGGTAGAGCCAATGTGACGAACGCGCACTTCTGCACACACAGACTAGGGTCAGGCTGTTTGATCACGACAGCTTTAGCGTTTTGCAGCACAGGAGTGTCAATTTGATGCGTCGATTACAATGAATATACATGTGGGGTCGACAAAGCAGATGGCGGGCGATTGATGATACAAGCGTCATGTACAGCTGACCGGTTGCGTGCATTGGCTGCGCAGCTAGGATGGTGGACGGATCTAGATTCGAGATGTGATTCCTGACCAACGATGGGATATGTTCGTCGATTCTAACTCGCAACGAGCGCTCTGTCTGCCTTGGTAAACGGCCATGCAATTACATATAACTTTGTAACCGATGTATTACTGGTTGGCCAGATGTAGCTGCGATTTAACCGAAGGTTGGGAATGCGCGTTTCTGCCTAGAGCAGCACTGGTTGCGCCACGGGGTGAAATCATGCCACCGCGGGTTTCAAACGCCGGTGAAATATTTGGTTTACATAATCACCCTTAGGAGGTAGCTGCAATATAACTCTAAGCATTGGCACAGTGGGCACTTTATTTCTCTTCTTACTGAAGTCAGTGATGCACGAAATTTGATACCCGTTTTCTTCTATGGTGTTGGCGAGGAATCGCACCTCTTCATCTAGCGTGTCTGGGGTACAGGTTTTCCTTGCGCTGTCAAACAGGGTCTACACCAATCCCTGTTTGCAGCGCTTGGGGACAAAACTATGGAAGTTCAGACACGGCACATTCCACTTCGGCTGATTTTATACCGACTACCTATTGATTCATCTGTTCTGCGTTCGATCAGTCCGTCAAGGAATGTTATTCTATCATTTTGCTGTCGCTCTATTGTTACCAGCTGGCTTGCCGAACAACCTCCTCGTGGTGCCAGCTGGGTGGTTCGGGATTTTCCCGTTCCAGCAAATGGTTCGGCGGCAGTGTTCCAGGACGTGGTGGGTTTTCGCCTGGCAAGCGTTCTCCCTATAAAAAGCCACATATCTCCGTTTAACAACACTGTGACGTGGCGGACGTGACTCGCCACTAAATAAAGTCACTGCCCCTTGCTTCATCCTGGCGAAGCATTGTATTCCAGCAGCCTTATGCTGTACTTCTGGGGAGCATTGGGCCCCTGTTTGACAAAGGAACAAACGAAAGGCGTATGAACTGAGCAATCAGTCACCGGCTCCCAATGGGCGCGATTCCCTGAATTCGCTCCGCTGCCTTGCGGGCAGGCTATTCAGCCAAAGGCTCGGGGTGGTGTCCCCTAAGTCAACACCCTACTTCGGCTTGGGCAACCGGGTAGTATCTCGCCCTCTGAGGAAACCATGGACATTGTTGTGTTGTGTTTTATTTTACTGTTTCTGTACTTTCGTTTGAATCCCATGGTTTCTGATGGCATTATGTCTGTTAGCAGACTTTTGCAAATATATATATATATCTATTGTTACCAATATGGTTTGGTGCGGGTCCTTTAATATGATGCTCAATTGGGTTAGTTGGTCCTCTGGATCACAACTGATCCATATATCGTCCAACTATGGGCGAAACAGCACGGGTTGGCGGATTTCAGCCCTGACTTGATTTTCAAGGTGAGCAGTGAAAAGATCCGCTAAGAGTGCTCCGAGTGGACTACCATTTGCAACACCATCCACTTACCGAAACCCTTGCTTTTGAAACTGGAACTTTACATTCGAGGTGTATAGCAGCGGAAGCAATTCTATCTCGGAAAACGGAAGACCTAGTTGGAACTTGTTCTCAGTAACATGGTTGCGTATGATCTGCATAGTCGCTTTCAACGGTAGGTTGGTGATTAATAAAACTATTTCGATGCTGGCCTTAGATTTTTCACTTGGATACCATCCAACAGTTCCACCAATTCGAACGTGTCTTTTAGGCTGTGCTTAAACATTGGCATCCTAACTGACTCCAGTATTGTCACTAGCCATGTAGCCAGCTTGTGTTGCGGCGAGTTGTTCAATTAATGAACAACGTTCAATCATGAACAATGATTTATAACGGGTAAAAAAGCAAGTGCTTGACATGTCCCGTAGGGTGTTTAGAGGGAGAAAAGATAGATCAAGGGATAATGGAATTGTCGGTTCGGGCAATTACAAATTTAACTGCACTGTCCCATAAAGGGTTTGAAATTTTAAGGTACACACACAAAGCCATAAGGGGAGTGGTTAATGATCACGCAATAGGCGAGAAAAAATTTAAAAAAATGAGGGCAACACTAAATCGTTTGCAGCTATCTTGGGTCGACGGGAAACCGAAATCCAGCTTCTATAATAGTAGCGTTTATCAAATTTTGTGCAAGGGGTTTGGAGTGACTCGTTCTCGAGTAGGGTTATGGCACTGTGCACTGTCTGTTGTGCATTAATGCCAACATCTGGTGGTCATGGGCTATAACACGTAGTGTAGATGTGACAGAGTATCGTCAAGGCGTTTTTTGAAAAGGGATAGGGTGGGTGCATTAATTACATGTTCCGGGAGGGCGTTCCAATGCTGTGACACTCGAAGGGAGAAATAGTTGCGCCGACATTCCAGACGGCTGTACAGCGTGACCAGCTTAAACCGATGATCTCTTAGCGGGGTGTTTTGACTGAGTATCAGAACGGAATGGCATGGGTGATTGGGGTTTCTCAGGATCAGGTACATCATTATGAGATCGCCCCTTAGACGCTGATAACGACCACTGTATATTTGGAGAATCTTCAGCCTGAGTGGCTGGGGGAGGCTGGTCAAACCTCTGATGCTCTTCGTTGCCCTACATTGTGCAGTATCGCGCGCGGTGAGATGGTGCTTGAGCCAGGGTTGCCACGCTTGAATAGCGTATTCCGCGTGCGGCCTCACGTACGCACTAAGCATTTTTGGAAAGACTGAAGGGTCAAACTTCTCGAAAACTCTGCGAAGAAGGCTGTGGTACCGGTTTGCTTTCTTAGATGTCTTTCCACTCTGCCTCAAACAACCTAGGTCATCTTGAACTAGCACGCAGAGATCGCACTCGTGAGAAGCCTGCTGCAGAATTTGTGGTCCTAGGCGGTACTTGTGCATACGCTTGTGCCGCATGCTGAGAACTTTGCATTTGGTGACGTTGCAATGCAGTATGTTCTCGATGGACCATGTGTACGCTTGGTCCAGATCCTCCTGTAACGCTACGTGATCCTCCACTGCAGTTATAGTACGCCATACCTTTAGAGCATCAGTAAATAACAAACAGTTAGCAGATAGCACGCTCGATAGATAATTTATGATAACCAGGAACAGGCGGGGTCCAAGTACCGAGCCTTGAGGTATGCCGCACTGAACTTCGATGGATTCGGCAGGTTGCTTCGAACCCTCACATTCAGGTGACGTTGCACAAGAAAGTCCCCTGTCCAGCCCAGAACAGGATCGACGATGCCATATTTCTGGAGTTTGTGGAGGAGAATGCGATGGTCTAGACGGGCGAAGGCCTTTGAGAAATCCAAGTAGGCCGCGTCGACTCCTACACCAGCGTCCACAGATTCCGTTCAACTTGCACCACCAATCCACAGGTTAGTGGTAAAGGAGAAATTTTGGCGAACTCCGTGTTGCTCCAGAACGAGAATTTTGTTGTTCTTCAGGTACCCCATCAAAGCCTCAGCTACAATGGACTCCATAACCTTGGAGATCACAGGCAGTAGTGTTATCGGGCGATAATTTGCTGGTTCAGCACGGCTGCCACTTTTGTAGATTGGCGTGATGATTCCGTGCTTCCACATGGTGGGGAAGTGCATCTCGTTCAGACATCGTTGAAAGAAAATTGCTAGTGTTCCTGCCAAATTCATGGCAGCAACTTTCAACGCCTGCGGACGAATGCCGTCCGCACCCGGG